AACTTGTGGAAAATCATGAAACATGGTCATGGGGATGCCGAACCAACATGTGAAGGTCATGTTATTGTTTATGTGGACGACATCATGGCTCTTGCAAATGACAATGTTCGAAACTCCTTTTTTGACCGGTTAAAACAAGAATGGAAGTGTTCCGATGTTGAAACTGTTGACAAAGATGAATGGGTCCGGTTTTGTGGTTTTGAGTTGAAACGACATGATGATGGGGTGAGTTTGATGGTAGGACAAAAGTCTTACACTGCTGAGTTGTTGAAACGTCATGAACATGTTTCCCCAAAGTCATGCCCCATGCCAAAACTGGACAGTTCAGAAACGGATGAAACGGATATCACAACACCTGATGTCCGTGCAGCCCAAGCAATCACAGGTGAACTGCTTTGGCTTTCTGTGAGAAGTAGGCCTGACATAGCCTATGCTGTAAGTGTCATGGGAAGGAATGTTACTAGAAAACCAAGGTGGGTCCAACAGTTGGGACAACACGTGCTAGGGTTTTTGTGTAACACCCCAGAAACTTGCCTCCTGTACCGCCCTTGCAACAAGGACCACGGTGCACATGGCACACTTCAGGTACCAAGGCATGAGAAGCTCATTGAGGCCTTCGCCGATATCAGCTTCGCTCCTCAAGGTGACCGCAGTCACCAGGGCATCATTCTGTGTGCTGCAGGATCTCCAATTCAGTGGGAGGCAACTCGGCAGGCATTTCACACCATGAGCACAGCGGAATCCGAATTGGTTGGATACTGCGAAGCCACAACAATGTTGAAATCTGCTGAGGCCCTATTGAAGGTTATCCATGGTTCATGCAACACGGGTGATGGTCTTGATGGGTTTGAAAAGGTTATTTATGGGGACAATTCAAGTGCACTTAGCATACTTATGAACCCTGATGGTGGATGGAGAACACGCCATTTGAGGCTTCGTTCGTCTTAATTGCGTGAGTTGTTGAAAAGTGACCCCCAAACATGGAAAGTCAGACACCAAAGGGGAGTTGACCTTCCCGCTGACATGCTCACCAAACCAATCACGTTGTTGAGGGATTGGGTTAAGTTTTGGCATTTCCTTGGGTTTCATGTTGATGCGTCAATCCCCAAATATGACCCCGAAAACATACCTCAAAAAACCTCCAAAGGGTCTTCCAAAACAACCGCCACTTCAGGACCTGATGAAACTAAGGGATCTGAGGATGTGGTGACCAAGGTGAAGGTGATCGCGGCTATGGCTGCACTGGCTGTGGCTTCTACGGCAGCTGGGCGAGCTGACGTGCGGCTGGCCTGCGCTACTGCTGCTGCTGCCTGCGCTGGATGGCTGGCGTGCAACTGGCAGCCATCGCCTTCAAACGAAGGCCGATCCAATGGGATCTGTTTAGATGGGAGGGAGGTGGAAAAACCATCAAGAGCCATTGGCCTCAAAAGCGAAAAAGATGCCAGGGGAGATGAACCGGCCAAAGAAAAACCTCCAAGGGAAAATGAACCTGGAGGCATAAACCCTCAAATAAGAACCAAAAAATGTGAGATCTCCAAGGGAAGATGAACCTGGAGAAAACAGTTTTGGGAAGGTTTGGGATAGAACCCCTGAAAATGGTAATTGGGCTCACCGAACCTATGAAAGTCGAAGGGATTTTTGGGACAGTAACCCCGAAGAAGGTCCCGTTTTTGGGGATTTTGTGGCAGGAAACAGCTGTGGCATGGCGCGCAACAGTTTTGAGTCCGTTGGTGGTGACTCTGAAGATGCTGTTGAAATGTTGCAGCCACTGTTGGCTGATACCTACCACTGCCCTGCGGGCTGCCCAAAAGTTCCGGCCGTGCGACTTGCTGCCATGGCCCCAAAGATGTCAAAGCCTGTGCCGCCGCTGCCGCCGCAAACGACAGGCGAAGCCGCTGCGGTGCTTGCTGCTGCTGTACGCCGAAAGGCGCCGCCGATGATGCTGCAGTGTGCTGCCGCTTTACAGGGTACCTCAACTGCTGCCAGCTCGGATGGTTCTCGAGCACGACAAGACCCTTACATAGGGGCTATGCCAAAGTTCCCTCCAGCTCGCCTGGCCGCAGAAAAGGCCATGAAAAAGGCAGGAGGCACTCAACTTGACCAAATGCCTCAACAAGGTCCATGGTTGGATGAGCGTTTTGGCGCCCCGAGCAGGAGTGGAAAGAAAGATGGATGGTCCGTAACCAAATGTGACCAAAGCATCTACCTGGTGCGAATCCATAGAGCTGCCCGAAAACAGAGGTTCCACCCCTTGCACCGAAGTGCGCCAGTTGATGCCAAATTCCTCACAGGTGAGCGCATCACAAAGGCGTTCTATGTGGATGGAAGAAATGGACCAGGCTTTCTGGTCGCCGACCAATGGAATGACCCTGTGGTTCGAGCTGAGTTTCAGTGGGTGGGGTTTACGTTCCTCAAGATGAAAATGGAAGCCATGGATGACCTCAACCTGAACATACAGCTGGAACCGGCAACAGTGACTGCTGGGCCGCCTTGGCCTCAACAGCAGTCCACCAATGACGATGACCTCGAGGTGCATGTGGGACGCCACTATGAAATGCATACTCCGATGCGTCAAAGACCTCACCGTGAACCTGGCCTTTTGATCGGGAAGCTGTACCTAGATGGATGTCTTGCAGCTAGTGGCACAGGAACTATGTCCAGTGCTGAGTCCCGAGAACTCCAGGTGGAACCAATTGCGGGTCCGACAAGCCCGTACAACAAGTCTGCAGCTCCAATGTCTGTGGGCTACAATGGAGGTGGTGGCGTCATTCAACGTGGTGTCGCTGCTGTGGTGCCCTCCTCAAGCTCGAGCGCTACTCCTGCTGCTCCCTCAGTCCCAAGATCCTACCAACCGCTGGTCGAAGAATGGGCTCTGGTGACTGATGAGGAGTCCGATGATGTCAATGCCAATGAGGAGGAGCCCTGAAAACTATGAAGACTGGAAGAAGCACTGCTGAGAGCCGGGCTCGAAAGCCATTTTGGCTGAACTTTTGATGTTCCGCAGCAAGCTGCGGGGGGGAGTGCGATTCATGAAGCATTCCACCAGCTGCTGTGGATTTTAAAAACTTAGAAGTTGACATGTGGTGGCATGCATGAACCATAGCATGGCCACTGCACAAGGATGACACGTGACTGCCATTGCAAAATGGCTCAAGCCAACGAAAGTTGGCTCAAGGGCGAGACGAAAAAGGTCTTGCCTAGCAGCTGCTGCTTCAGCTGTTGATCCACGATAACAAAACGGTGGAGAAAAAAGGGGTCCCAACTCCTTCCGGAAGAGCGCATCATAGATGATGCTCGTGGGTGGGCAGGAAGATTGGGGGTGCATTCCAAAAACCAGTTGCATTTACTAAGGGTTGGATGACTGGCCATGGAAAGCGTCCACCTAACGTGTCCGTGTTGTTCAGAGGATGTGGTTTTGAGATATGTGAGTGGTTATTGGCTGAATCTATCCCCCCAAAATAGCTAACATATCCCAGGTCAGGGTCGAAATCCAAGGGCCCCCAATTGCAGGAACTGAGACATGTTAGCTGTTTTTGGGTCAATGGTCCCAAAAAAAGTTGCAATGCATTCCCCAGGAAAACGCCGGTACAGAGTGGACATGTTAGTTGATACCTGAAACGGTAGCCCGAGACACGTTTGTTCCCGGGAGGGTAGACTTAGACGCAATGCTCCAGGAGGTTGGATGTTGTGAGATGTGCCTCAGGGACTGGTCTTCAGGAGGGTGTAGGACATGCTGAAAAGGCCCCAAAGAAATATGTGATACGTGAATGCGGAAAAAAGTGATGGGACAATAAGTTTCAGTTTTAAAACATGTTACAAGAGAGACAAAGAGAGAGAGAGAGAGAGAGAAAGTGCGAAGTCAAGAAAAGCACTGCGACAGTGCGACGAGGTCTTGGATAAATCGCTCAAATGTGAAAGAAAGGGGGCTGAGGGAAGAGATTCGAAACAACTCAACAGAACTTTCAAACACAGCAAGTAGTGCGGTAATCCGTGTCGAGGAAACCACTGCGGCGAGGAGCAATGAGGAATGATGGAATAGCCCTGAAAAACAAGAAGAGTTCGAACAAGTGTTGTAAGCGTTTGGAAGAAGTTATGGGATGAGAGAATTGAAACAATTGTTGCGTCGAACTGTTGACAGTAGTTTGGCATTTCAGCGCCTTTACGACAAAGATACTCGTCCCAGAATTGAAGGCAGGCTAAAGTAAAACGCCCAACGTGTTTTTCTGTGTAATGTGCATTGTTCTTGCGATTATGGTTGCGTGCCGACTGCTATCAGTCCATGACAATGTGATGAACAGTTACTGTATATTTGTTGGCACACACACACACACGGAGACACACAGGAACCCCAAACTGTTCTGCCCACAACCCCAATGAATGAAATGCATTTCCGCCAGAAAACCATGACAAGACGCTTCAATTAACTACCACATGTTGCCACATAGCATCAAGTAGAGGCTTTGAAAACCTCCATTCCTTCCGGTTCATCCCTGCTTTTCCTTTTGTGATTTATGATACCTCCATGCAGCAGGGAAAAGAGAACCTGAAAGAACATACAATAGTTGCTGCTTGATGGTGCTGGGTACGAAACGGGATGTTTCATGATGTTTCAGAATTTCGCACAGGGGGCCATAAAAAAAAAAGGATGTTGCGGTGGAAATAAGATGGATATTTGCATGGATTTACCATAGGAAGTAGGGTCTGGCCAAAGTGTAAAGATAGTTTTTTGTGGCCCCTCCCAGCAACTGCTTGACGTGCAGTTGTTTATTCAACTCCTCTCATTTCAGCACCGTCTCATGTACGCTCCAGTAATGTCTGCGCATATGTTCTGTTTCCACAACAGGGCTGCAGCAGGAATCGATTGATAATACATACGACTGCCAAGTGCAGAATTGTGCTATTCTTGTTCAAGTTCTCTGTATATCCTGGAACATTTTCATATTGCGCCCTTTAATGAAGTTTTGATTTAAAGAAACTATACAAGTTGCATCATGATATGTGGCTGCTTGCCTGACATCGCCCCTCATTTTGTGACAAGCTGGTAGACACTAGTAGACTCTGTGGACTGAGGCTTTGAAAGCTTTCAGCTTCCACAACTGCCACAACAGAGACCAAAACCTGGTTCAATCTGGAAGTGCTGATTGAAGTCGGTTCAACCACTCAATTTATTTCGCATCGCATCAGTCAGTTCTCTAGTGACCTTTGGAATTTTGGTCAGATGCCACCTTTGGGGCCAGTTTTGGGCTTATTCTGGCCGTCTTTGGGCTTGGGCTTCAGAGTCTTCTTGATCTTTTTCTTGGCCTTCACGGCGGGTCTCACCTCATCTTCCAAGAGTCCAACATCATTTCTCCCGGTGCAGATACATTGTGAAATATTGTGAACATGGTCTCTAAGCAGGTGTTCTTAAAAGCAAATTGAAGATCCCCCCGTAAGAAGAACAAATGGATCAAGTTCTCTGACCAGCCAAGTGGGGAAAAATGAAAGCGGGTGAGGCCTCAACAGGCTTCTCTGCAGGTGGGGCCTCAACAGGCTTCCGCGGTTCAGCAGCCTGGAAGACGAAAGATGCGAAAATCCCCCCAAGCCTGTGAACTAAAGACATCTAAAAACCAGCATCCCAACAGTTTCTAGCCTGGAGACCACCAGTTGCCTGCAAGATGCAAGAAGCATCACTGGAATCACATGCCCCAATTTAATGTTTGGGTTTCAAACATGGTGTCGTGGTGACAAGGAAAGCATCCGTCCATCGTGCCTCAGCGCTTCCGGGCGCATCCTTTCGTCTTTGGGCAGAAGCCTCACTGTACAAAGACGAACAAATAGGAGAAGTATGCGCAAATGTTAAGCAACAAGTGCAACAAACGCAACGAGCGCTGGTTCTTTGCACCAATCTGAGCCAATTTGATCCAATTTGACCAGACTTGAGCTGATTGTTGTGTTGATTGTTTCTGTTTTTTCAACCGGATCAATGCCTCGGCTGCATGAGCGAAGTGCTGGACAATGCGCTTCGCAGCCTAGGCAGGTCTTTAAGCTATGGCCGATTCGCGCCAAAGTCTCATGGTCTCCAAATCAATTGTTGGAAGTCTCGTTTCAACTGTTTCAACATGCAAACATGTCTCAGTGTTTTCGAAATCCAAAGTTTCTCTTGTTATCCAAGGCACGTCAACATCCACACGAGCTCGCTCTCGAGATACTTCCTTTTCTGCTGCCTCAGAAACCGACCGGTTAAGGCTTTTGTCAGGGGATAAGATTCAGTAACACCAGTAACACCTTTGCTAATTTTGCTATCTTCAAAGCCTGTAGGATTCGAACTCCTTCCACTGCTGTCCGAACCTTTTTGAAGTAAAGCTGAATCCGATCCAATTCCTCCGTGCGAGAAGGCACAAGATGCAAGAGCAGGATTGGGGACAGGCCGAATGTGGTCCTGACGAATTGGATGATCGCTTGGATCCACTCCTCTCAGCCGTGCATTTGTCTTGGAGAAGAAAACCAAGAGATAAGAAAAGGGTTAAGAAATAGCACTCAGGCCCTCCAGCTAGCGCAAAAACCAGCAGTGTCCTTGTGACAGTAAGTGACAGAAGTACAAAGAAGCTGCTGCATACGCAAGACTTACCTGGGATGCCAGAATGCATGTGGAGGACCAAGTTTTCTGCAACTATCCGACAGTTCTGCAATATCACATGCAACGTCAGCGCATGTCAGCGCAACGTCAGCGCATGTCAGCGCAACGTCACGATAGAATGCAAAACCATGGAAAGCCATGTGCCTGCAATTCGGCGTTCTCCAGAGCTTCCAAATGACGCCCCACCTGGAGGTTCAGTGCGACCACGCTATACCGCTATGGCCCTCCCCTTGCAAAGACATGAAAGAAATCTATCCATATTGTATATTGAATAAAATCGAATATAATATAATAGAATAAAATACAATCCAGTACAATGTAGTATAATGTAATGAAATGAAATAAAATACAATATAAAATAATATAATACAATACGATAGACTATAATGTAGCGAAATATAATGTAGTGTAATGTAATGTAGTGTAATGTAATAAAACATATTATAACATAACATAACATAATATAATATAACACAATATAATATATATAATATAACGCAATATAAAAAAGACCGTATAATATAATACAATATAATACAACATAGTACAATATCATACGATATAATATGATATAACACGATATAATTCAAGAATAAATATAATACTCAACATAGTACAATATGATAGTATATTATTGTAATTAGTAATTAGAAATTAGAAACCAGTAATCAGTATTAGTATCAATACTGGTATTACTATTAGTATACTACATACATATATTATCATATATTATATATAATTACATAAATATTACTATTGCAGTTCGTTAGCTTCATTTGCATCTCCTTTGCCATGTTTCTTCAAGTTCCTGATTTCCACTGTTTCCAGTTTGTTGGCCTCCTTCGAAGTCTTGGAAAGCAGAGGGGCCAAATGCTTCTCCACCTAAGAGTCTTTGAGACTTGAAGATACTTGAAGATACTTGAAGATACTTGAAGATACTTGAAGATACTTGAAGATACTTGAAGATACTTGAAGATACTTGAAGATACTTGAAGATACTTGAAGTGAGTAATTGAAGCTGTGCCGCCTTCGCCAGAAATGCATTGCAGTTTCCGTGTGTGGAGCGACCAGGTACAGAATAACTCACAGCTGCCAAATCTTACTTCACAATTGAATAACAAAGCCCTCCTCTCTTCCTACCAAACCTTTGAGAGCAAACCCAACGCAATCGGAATTCTGGGAAGGGGGCTACTTGCAAAGAGCTTTGAACAGCAGCGACCTCAAACAGAATTCTGGAGATGAAAGCTTCGATGCTTTTGCAGGCTTTGCGAAGTATATCAAAGTGATTTGCCGCATCACCTACGATCTGGTGGCCAAGTTCTTTAAAGACTCCTAGGCAGCAGATACGCTTTGTGAGCAGAAACCCAAGTCTGGTGGCCGAGGCATTGTGAGTGCCCTTGCAAGTAACTGCAGTGTACCGGTTGCAAGCTGGAAGAAGCTGCAAAGCAATTGTCCAATTGTCCAGGGCAAGCTCGTCTCACATACGAACTCTTTGCCATATCCCATTTGCGCGTCATGTGACAAGTCTAAGTCTTCTATCTCTTCAAGCGTTCCAGTGCTGTGCACTTGTGGCAGCCGTGACACCCTGCAAGGCAATTATGTCATTATGTACAAGTTGGTAGATGATGCCAGTATGAGATGGTATGAGTAGTGTAGTATAACCCGTATTACAAAGGCGTGCAAGATCTTGCAAGTTAAATGATTCGGTATCCGTGTTCCCTCCCTATCCCTGCCTTAGCATGAGTTTCTGATGCAAGCAACGACATGGCCACTTCGCAAAAATGGTGCCAAGCTCTTTGCTATCTTGCACAGCTTGCTGTTTGAAGCTGGACCTCAAAGGAAGGCTTGCTTCCACACTGCCTTTAGTCAGGAGATGTGTCCATCCGTCCATCCGTCTCCAGTCTTGCAACACTGTTGCATTCAAATTGTCTATTGAAATGATTCAAAGGATTTATGCTGACTGGCAGAATGGCAGCAGCTTGGAGCCACAGTCACATGACGTATGAGGGCACATGAGGAATCATTGGGATGAGGGGGCAAAGTCTTGGACCTCTGACTCCTCTGTCCTTCTTTTGTGCCATGAGTAGATCAATCGATTGAGATTAATCAGATTGCAGTACTCCAATCATGATTAATGCATATTGTACATCAAGACTTCCCTGGAGCAAGTCGTGTCTTTTTGACTCGTGATCTGGCCGCCGAAGCCTCTGACCTTGGTAGGGCCGACATGGCCGACATGGCTTACATGGCCGACTGCACGACATCTGCATCTAACTGCCAATCTGCACGCTTTATCTTCCCTGCATATGCTATGCCACTCCAACCCCAAGCTTTTCACTGAACTTGTGTCATCAAGTCGATCAAGTGCAACGCTTCATGTATGTCGGCCTCAGCACCGTATTGCAAGCACCAAAGAACAGCTCGATCGTACAGTATGGCCTCAGCTCCCTTTTGCCGTTTGGAATTGTGAGCTGAAGCCATCGAGCCTTCACCTTCGCAATGCGCTTGTTCTTCAATTCCAAGCCCTTCATCAAGTGTAGCTCCTGTTCAGTCTACAAAGGTCATTGTGCGACAATATTGCACGTATTGCATGCATAGCTGCGCATATCACACATCATTCAACATTGTCAAACATGGTCAAACATTGTCAAGCACTGCATCTGCGCAGGACTCTTGCGGAACTGCCCCACGCACCTTGTCCTCAAGAAACGCTTGTGCCTCTGCCAATGGCATTTCCAATCTGAAATTCAGACCTGAAAAACGGGAACAAAGCAGTGGAGGAAAGTCAGCGGTTCCTTGGATCTTGACTTGCTTCTTGACAGCACAAAAAGTATGATTGCTTCTGATTGTCAGGAAACCTCATTGCTTCTTGCTCATGAATCGTCCAATCAGACCTGCCTACATCGATGAAGATGCTGCTAGTGTCTGGAACAAATGCCTTGACGTAGAACCTCACAATGGACTCTGTGCTATTTCAAAGATGCACTCTTTTGCCACCATTCACTCGCTCTGTACCAAAAATATCTGATACACCATGATACACCCTTACCCCCTCTGCACCCATGTTTCTTCAATGGAATGACGTAGCCTTGAATCAAGGTGCGAGTTCTAATCAAGCAAGGGTCAGAAATACATCAAGCATCTTCATGAATTTAAAGCAAGGACCCAGTTTTTGATGGAGACTTGATTTGAAACAAACATATTTGGACTCACGCTGACATCCCAGTTCAACACTCGTCTCAAGCTCTGATATGTCGTCCTGCGGCACACTGGTTGTGGCCCGCTATGGCATGTGGCTATCGATGGCAACCACCCAGCCCCTCATCCCTTATCCAACCTGTCGGTGTGCTGCAAGGCTGCGCCAAACTCATGATTTTCTTGCATTGTCATAGTTTCCCTTGTCCTTTAGCAGAAGGCTGATGTTTCTTCTCAGTGCTTTGCACCTGGCTTGGATGACATGGCATACAAGAAGGCACATGGCACATGCCCGTCTTAGAATTTTGCTGGACAAATCAGCGCTGCACGTCTGAAAGTGTTGAACATAGACAACACAGACAAACTTAAGGATAAACTCAAGGCAAGCATTGGTCCCGGACTCTTCCAAGGTAGCTGTAGCCTCTCTTATTTCCTCAAGGCACCGCCTCAGGAATTTTAAGCTACGAATCCAAGGAGTTGTGGTGGCTTACCTCCTAACCTCCTAGAATTTCAACTTGCAATTTGCAGGCCAAAGGATGCCAAAGGTAACAACTTCCAGAGGCAGGCGCATTTCTGCATCTGATCACAGGATATCATGATTGATTTTGGGCGGTAGGGTATCAGCTGCAATCTAATGAAAAAAATGAAAATTAAAGGACCGGATAACCCCACAAGGCAACTTCTTCCAATAATGAGCACCAAATGTTGTAGCGGGGACGGGAAAGGAAGGAAAGACAAAGGAGGTGGTGGAGGATCGAGAAGTAAAACAAAGTTGTGTGTGTGTGACAAAGTTGTATGTGAAAGATGGTGTGTGTGAAAGTCGTGTGAAAGAGCGTGTGACAAGTTGTGTGTGAAAGATGGTGTGTGACAAAGTGGTGTGTGAAAGATGGTGTGGCGAAAAATGGTGTGTGACAAAGTTGCGTGTGAAAGATGGTGTGGTGAAAGATGGTATGCGACAAAGTTGTGTGTGAAAGATGGTGTGGTGAAAGGTGGTGGGTGACAAAGCGGTGTGTGAAAGATGGTGTGTGAAAGATGGTCTGTGAAAGATGGTGTGTGACAAAGCGGTGTGTGAAAGATGGTGTGGTGAAAGATGGTGTGAGACAAAGTGGTGTGTGAAAGATCGTGTGTGAAAGATGGTCTGTGACGGCGTGTGAAAGATGGTGTGTGAAAGATGGTGTGACTGTCAAAGATGGTGTGTGACAAAGTGGTGTGTGACAAAGTGGTGTGTCAAAGATGGTGTGTGACAAAGTGGTGTGTGAAAGATTGTGTGTGAAAGATGGTGTGTGACAATGTGGTGTGTGAAAGATGGTGTGTGGAAGAGAAAGATGGTGTGTGACAAAGTTGTGTGTGTGTGAAAGGTGGTGTGTGACAAAGATGTGTGTGAAAGATGGTGTGTGACAAAGTTGTGTGTGAAAGATGGTGTGGGACAATGTAGTGTGTGAAAGATGGTGTGGGACAATGTAGTGTGTGAAAGATGGTGTGTGACAAAGTTGGGTGTGAAAGAGGGTGTGTGAAAGATAGTGTGTGAGAAAGATGTTGTGTGACAAAGATAGGGCGTGTGACACCAGAGCCAGCCCAGTGCCATAAGTGCCACGCAGGCGTGGCACTTGGTCACATCCACCTTCGTTTTGCGTGGCAGGCGTGGCGCTTATGGCACTGGGCTGGCTCTGATGGCGCGCTTGGGCCGGTTTTGGTCTCCGGTGACGCCGCGGCACTTTGCGTGGCAGGCGTGGCGCTTGGTGACATCCACCTTCGTTTCTTTTGGCAGGCGTGGCACGGCAGGCGTGGCACTTATGGCACCGAGCTGGTTCTGGTGGCGCGCTTGGGCCGGTTAGTGCCACGCTTGCCACGCGATGGTGTGTGACAAAGATGGTGACAAAGATGGTGTGTGACAAAGTTGTGTGTGAAAGATGGTGTGTAACAAAGATGTGTGTGAAAGATGGTGTGTGACAAAATTGTGTGTGTGAAAGATGGTGTGGGACAATGTGGTGTGTGAAAGATGGTGTGTGACAAAGTTGTGTGTGAAAGATGGTGGGTGACAAAGTTGTGTGTGAAAGATGGTGGGTGACAACGATGTGTGTGAAGGAGTGTGAAAGATGGTGGGTGACAAAGATGTGTGTGTGTGTGAAAGATGGTGTGTGACAAAGTTGTGTGTGTGAGAGATGGTGTGTCAAAGATGGTGGGTGACAAAGTGGTGTGTGAAAGATGGTGTGTGACAGAGTGGTGTGTGAAAGATGGTGTGTGAAAGATGGTGTGTAAAGATGGTGTGAAAGATGGTGTGTGTGTGTGACAAAGATGGTGTGTGTGTGTGAAAGATTGTCTGTGAAAGAAAGGATGAGGGGGCGGAGGAGGAGCAGGAGGAGGAGGAGGAGGAAAAGGAGGAGGAGGAGGCGAAGGAGCGGCGGGATACAGAATCAAAAACAAGAACCCCACACAAAGATGTGGGGAAATACCAAGTTACTTTAAGGTATTTCACTTTATTTCAAAATTGTTGCCAAACAAACTTGCCAAGGCACTCATGGTCTGCTTTGAGTACACGCTCCACAAAGCTTTCGTACCTCGGCAAACGTTGACAAAGGTCGACAGCTTCTTTAATTGCTCTCCTTGAATCTGACTCGGCACACTCTGCAACTTTTTGAAGCCATGCTTTGTGGCTCTCTGCTTCGGTGGTGTTGTTCACCCCAAAGTCTCAACCCACCCTTCACTTGCTGCGCTGTCAGATCTGCTTTCTCCTGAACCTCAATTATCTAATTTCGCAAAAAGCTGTGTGGTTCCAACCTTGATCATTTTTGCAATCCATGAGTTCAAGTGAAGTATCGCATTGAGATAGCCACAGACTTGCGAAAGTCATCGATCTTGATGGCAGTTCTTATTCCTGTGCCTCGCTGCACTCAAGTTGCTATTAGGTTAGCAAAAAGGTACTGGGTGTTCTTGATGGTCGTCTTTCAATGCAGGAACACGACTGCTGAGGCAGCTGCAAATGCTTGCAGCTTTCACGTCTCGCCAAGCCTCCCACAAATCCAAGAAATGCAGGTTGAGAATTTCGTGCACATGTCATTTTGTTGAACACTCCCAGAGTTTCTTGATTTAATGCCACGAGTGTGTGCGGGGCAGTTGTGCCTCCCGATAGTCCTGGCGCCACGGCACACCATGCCTTGCACACAATCAATATTCTTTTTGAAGATTCGTAGGTCGCTGAGCTTTTGCTACTTGCGGTGCCGCTTCTGTGCTTGGAAACTTTGTGCTCTGACCGCTGCAAGACTTGCGCAAAGTCCTCTTGGGACTGACATCCACATGGTTTGGAGTTTACCAAGCCTTGTATCAAATCAATACAAGCTCGGCCTTCGCTGCCTCCAAGTTGGCTTGTTCAGCGCGTCTTTGACCTTGAGGTCCAAGGCCCTACAAGACACAACATTTCGACAAGCAGCATCAAACGGCAAACAATAGGTCAATAGGCGTCCAGTACGGACTGGGCTCACAACTCCAAGGTCTACGGCTTTTTGGCCTCCAAAAAGCTGTATGAATAATGCGGGTGACAAGTTCTGTGAATTTTTAGTATGTGAAAAACATGCTTGGAATACATGCCTGCTGTAGCACAAGCGCCCATCCCAACAAGTGAGACTAAGTTCATGTTTTCCTATGTTTACACTCGACAAAGCACCGGTGTCTTCAGAGAGGATATTCCTGCCAGCCTATGATCCAAAGGCTGGAGAGCAACAGGAATGCAAAGCACGAGGCGCATCCTGCACAAAACAATGAAAGCACAAGCATCTTACAAAGATGGAAACTTGTATTTATGTATTTTATATGCATATATATATATATACATATCTCTGTATGTGTATATATATATATATATATACAATTATATACATATAAGGAACACGTCAAATCAAAACCAATGCATCAAACGTATCAATGCAATAGGGTTAGCGGCACAAATCCGCCTATCAGCAAACGATCGGCCTTATTGATGGACCCAAAGAATCAGGATTGGATCACTCTGCTATGGCAGTTGTGGATGCACAAAAACGGTATACTGCACCCTGCAGCAAAATCAAGGCATGCTTGGACTTATTCAGACTTTTCCAGAATGATCCTGAGTCAATCATGAGTTGCAAAAGTTCTCCAGGAATCACGCCCACTGCTGCTGCGAGCGCACCAACTCCTTTCTGCTTTGTGCCTTGAGTCAGAACGAAAGCAGTTGCAGCAAGGAAACGAAGGAAAAATCAAACGACACGCTCCTGTTTGCCCTTAGCTGCCTTAGCCCTAGTCCCTTGTCTCAACCCGTCTCTAGGGGGAAACAAGCACATGTGTAAAGGGCAAACACATGGAAGTGTATAGGATCAAGGGTCTCAGATTCCCGCAACCAATCGCACAAGTTTGTCCTGGCAGTGACAGGTTTACTTGGACCGAGTTCCTGCCGTGCTAGGAATCCCAGCATGAACTCTTGCAAATGGTGTTAGCATTAAATTTTCAGTATATCTGCAACTGCAAAATGATAGGCGCACCAGATTCTGACTGAAAGAGCCTTGTGTTTGGGAGACTTTGTAGAACGGATTTTGGCCAGACCAGAGCCCTGCAACTCCTCAAGTCAAAGCGCAAAGAAATTTGGTGCGTACAGTGCTGCAAACATAATTCCCGAATTATCCTACTGGATTGATTCCAACACATCGCCCTGTCTTCTTTCTGGCTCTTTCAGGATCAGAAACCGACCCTGATGATAGGTCCTGCTACGAACGTTGAAAACGATGAAACATATCCGTCTGCAAGCGAACGAGTATACAATTTTGGTGCAGTCAGAACTCCCAGTGCACTTCAAAGAATCATTGTGTCATTCTCCTATCAAAAATAGAGAATCTTGTGGTCATACATGATACACACAATCGCCAAGAAGAATTTAGGGCCTTAGGGTGAGGAAAGCATCATGTTTATGGCAGCTCTTTTCCAAATTTGTTTTCGAATTGTTAATCTGGTCAACAAAAAGAGCGAATGTGCATGTCTATGCAGAAGGTGAATACCAAGCACGGGTACAAACGATCTCTGTACAGCTCTTTTCTCATGCAAAGCAGCGCAAAGAAAGCAGTCTCGCATGTCTTGCATAGCAATCTTGGCAGGGGCATGGCACCGCTCCTTCTCGTCGAGCGAGTCGAGCCCAAGCAAGATCAAGGCAGCGAGAAAACTGCAAATGCCCGCCACCACGAAGCAAAGGCTTCCAGGACCAGGCCAAATCTCACGGACACGAAAAGAGAACAAAAGAGAAGAAAGCCATTTCAATATGGTCAACACTTGCACTACTCTGACTACTTAACTTTTCCTCGAACATCCAACATGATCAACATGTTTAGTCCATTCATGTCATTTCATGTCTATTCTAGTTGCTTGATGTTTCTTGTCTGCTGTGTTGTGTGAAACTGACAAAAGGGTGTGGTGTAGACGTTCTGGGACCTGGCCTCGAAGCGATGGGGCTGGATTGCAGCCTCACCATTTGTTAAGCCGTAAAGTACGCGAGCAACTGACGGCCTGCCAACACGATGTTTTGAAGTTTTTTTTCCATCTGACCAAACAATTTTGACAAATTACTAGTAGAATCATGTAGAATCTAGTAGACGGTAGTAGACGGTTAGATTAGAAAAATGATCAACACATATCAAAATCATTAATTTACGAAGAAGCAGTGATCCCACTGACAAATTTCAAACTTGACAGCTGCACCGCAATCGGGTGGCACACCAGCTGGACAATGCAATCGTAGCTACAAAGCAAAGGAGTGCATCTGCCAGAAGTAGAAGTGTTGCAAACTTCTGTATCCTGCAGCGATACGCTGCACACAGAACAAAGGAGTGACATCAATGGCCACAACGGTCACAATGCCAGAAAACCAAGGGGACAAGGGAGCATTGTCATATTAGCACAATTATAAGCGATGTTAGTACATATATCAACAATATATCAACAATTGTCAGCAAACCTTTTGCTGGTCCAAACAGCTGGGGCTTCCGATGATATCATTGCGGTCTTCCATTCATTTCGCTGCAGCATCGGTGGAAGGGTAGCAAAACGCTACCACGCCCGAATGAGGTCAATTACAGGCTCGATTTCTGGTTGTTTAATGTTCTATATGATAAAATCATGTTCTTTATACCTTTTAATAAAGGGATCTGCCAAACAAATGCTGGGTATGCTGGACGTAATTCACAGCGCCAGCGCTGCAAGGCCAAGGCTGGCTGCGCCACGATTTAAGTGGTCTTGGTTGAACGATGTTGAACGTTTGAGTTCTACCATCCTTGAGCTGCAAATGCCAAGGTGTAACACGCTTGTATCGTGAGAGGAATTCAGTGCAAAATGCCTCTGGCGCAAAAAGAACTCACTGTACGAGCGTCTATTTTTCTATGATTTTAGCGTTTATAATTCTGGTGCGTTTCTGGGTCTTGCGTAGGAACTTCTATCGCAAAACAACAGTGCTAAAGATGTCGGGCCTGGTGTCGGGTGCTAACTCTGCTGCTACGACAGACTTCAAGGCAAAAAATATTACATGAATTTGCCTCAAGGGCGTACTATGGCGTACTTGATTTTGAGCCTGGAGCCCATGCTGAGACTATGGGTATGTTGAGGTTCGGTTGCGCCATTTGGGGAAATTGGTTTTGGGCTTCGCAAGCTGAAAAACCTAGATGCTATTCAACAAAGCAAGCAATCTACCCTTTGGGTGCCAATATTTGCTCAACATGGTGTGGACCACGTTTTGTTCTTCTAGCCTGTCAAAAGAACGCACGAAATGGGACCAAATAGCTCCAACATTCGCATGCCCATAGCCTTCGTTTCTCGGCTCTGTAAACCGTTTCAAACCAAGGGTAACAAGGCCTGTCATGTGGGAAACAATAACCTCAAGATGCCTCAAGATATGCACAAAATAGGCTCTGGGCACAACATCCCAAGACGAAGACAATATCCACAACTTCCATGATCCAATCAATCCCAACTCCTGGTATTTCGACACGATCCAGCAGCCAAGAGACTGACCTGGAAGCTGTGTCCAAACGTGCCCAAACATTCTTTGTTCACATATCAGACAGAAACTTCGCAAGAATGATTCAGCCCATGCCCACCATGGCTTTGAACATCTTTCAAAATCTTTCAACGCCATTCAACTATGTTCAGTTTCACTAGTCACTTTTTGATGCTTTTTGGGCGCTTCAGCTACCTGCAGCAACAGTGAGTGCTGGGTATATTCGCGGAAACTCTCAGGCATGAGCAGCTACACAGGATGCAACCAAAGCAGTGCCTTGAGGATGTCACAAAATGGTTTCACACGAAGAATCGGGAAGATAGAAAGTTAAAGATCTCTGCCACATCGAGTCAGATCCTTTTCTCTTTTGGCTGAGTTTTTCTCCGGACACATGCATGAAGACTTCCGCTGCCACAGTTCGAGGCTCCTCAAGGGCTCTTCTGCCACGCCCAACTAAGAGAGAATATTGAGAGACAGCACACAATTACAAAAAATGCGAACACGTAAAAGCAAGAGACTGTGTGGATTCTGTGCGGCTTTCAGGCTTGTATACATTGTCATCCTCTGTAAAAAGAAACTAGCGGTCGAGTCGAGGCTTCCTTCAAAATAATATATAATAATAATAATATTAATAATAATAATGATATTAATAATAATAATATTAATAATAACAATAATAATAACAATAATAATAACAATAATAATAACAATAATAATAGTAATAATAATAGTAATAAAAATAATAATAATAATATTAATAATATAATATATATGTATAATATATATAATACATATAATATATATATAATACATATAATATATATAATATAATATATAATAAATATATTATATATATATACACAGTATATACATAAATAAATAAGCATCACCGCCTGCAACTGCGCCCACGGGATCTTCTGCATTGATAAAGAGGGTGGTGCCTAGCAGGTGCTTTGTACAGCATTTTGCATGATAGATCGGGCTTAGAAGATCTGAGAAGACTGAGACATACTGAGACTGTGTCCACTGCGACTATTTCATTTCACGTCCGGAGGAAACTGCACAGGTTGGCTCTGCCATCACTTGACCGCTCCTTCTCCCATGGGCGCATTGGATCTTGCCGCAGAATCGCCAAAACATCCACCGACCTTTTGCAGATTTCTTGCTTTGCTACTGCTGGATTCTCTGTGATCCCACCTCAGTCCGAGAATACAGCTAACATCGTGTTCGCAAAGTGGAGGCTGCGCACTTGCCCTGAGCACTTCTCATTCAGACATAGCAATGACACAGCATTGACACAGCATTGGCATTCAGGAATTGCCCCGAAAGTTTTTCATAGGAAGCGTGACGAGCCTAACCCAGTCGTCGGACTTCCAGCATGCCAGGTGTAGCCCCGCTGATGCTAAGTTCAACCTAATGCGGACAAGGTACGCTTGAATTTGACCACAAAACAGCAAAGCAGAATGTGTATAGATAACCCAAGACATATAATTTACAAGAAATTAATACCGGTACCGGTACAGTATATGTATTGCATGTTATTATGATTGTACTTAGGTTTGCGCCACGGTCACATGTTTTTCAGACTCCTCGTGAAAAAGAGATAGTAAAAGGGTATGCCCAACAATAGAAAAGAAATCCTTCTCACCGAAATCCGAAAGGATGAATAAGGCCGGATCAAGAACGGCCAGCCGCGCATGAACACTGGCCAACTAGACAGAGGCAAACTATCGAGAAAGATGCTGAAACAAGTTTGGACCGTTTGGACCCCTCAGGAATTCTGGAGATTTGTGGAGTAGCCAAAAGATTTGTGGAGATTTTGGATGTTTTTTGATGTGTTTTATCCTAGAGCAGCCCAGGAATGCTCACACCTGACAATCTTAACTTTATACAGCATCAAGCGCCATCAAGAATTGCCCATGTTTGACTTTGTTTCTTGGGCTTGAGCTAAGCAATCGCAAGACTGCACACAGCACATTGCACAATGTTTGCATAATACTTGAATGTTGGCATTTTTTCTGTCAAATATATGGTTTTCCCACGCAACATACAACACATCACAGCTCCCAGAGTGGATCACTCCACGATCTTTGCATCTACCGCCCCGGCCTTGAAAAGTCGAATGATAAAAGGACAAAACAGCGAGAAATGCAGTAGGCAAAAGAATTAAATTCAGACGAGGTAGGTGGATCGAGGTGGATACATGTTACATTAGTGTGCAAAATGAGGACAACAAGGTGTGACAAGCAGGCCCATATGAAATCAGCAATGGAATCTTGCCTCTAGCTCAACTTCGTCCTTGCGAAAAGCAACGGACTCAGCATCTGTACAACACGGCAGCTAAAACAGCAAATGCATCTGTTTTGATTCGTCGATTGTTTTTCAACGCTATTCAAGGGAAAAAATGACACTATATCCGCCGAATCCGGCTGATGCAGCTGGGGGAGAGCTTTTTGGACGGAATCCGGGTCGCTCATAAGCGTCTCCAAGAGCATTCTCCCCCCCCGTTTTGTAGGTACCTAATATCGGAAAAAAACGCCGTTTTGACACATTTTTCGGACGATTCTTATTTAGCTTTTCGAAACTAACAAAATGTTGTAAATTACAGCATTTTTGCGTTTTAACGTCTTTTGCGGGGACAGTGCAAAAACGCAGAAAATGCTGTGAATACTAATATTTTTTCGACTAACTCAGAAAATGCTGTAAATACCAATACGGCTAGAGATGCACAAAACAATGCAAATACCAGTGTTTTTGAAGGCAAAACAAAAAACATAGTAAATTGCAGCATTTGTGGCGGGTTGATCACACAAAATGTTGGTATTTACACAGTTTTTGCAACCTTTTTTTGCTTTGATGAACGCCAAATTTCAAAAAATGTGAGCGAAACCTAGCGCAAAAATGCTGCAAATTACAGCACTTGGTGCGCTGTTTATGTTCAATTTTAAACGAGCGATGCTTTCACATGTTCTTGGCATTCTTGGACAAGAAACGACGTCACAGATTGAAACTAGACGACAGTGTGGCCCGAAAGAAAGCTGGAGGGAGGAGACGAGAAGATAGCACACAAGAAAATATGATGATGAAGCTTTTACACACACAGGGGCTTTTACACAGAAAAGTCTTTACACTTTACACAGAGCGGCTCTTAGACACAGAAGCTTTCGCAAGCTGGCCCAACATAGCCTCCAGATGGCCCAACATGGCCCGCAAGCTGGGCCCACATCCATCTTGGGGCTACATAGCCCCAAGATGGGCCAACGGCCAACGTAGCACGAAGACGGGCCAGCATAGCCCCTAAGATGGCCCCAAGCTGGTCCAAGAGGGGCCAACATAGCCGCAAGCTGGGCCAACCTCGCCCCAAGATGCGCCTACTACAGACCTTGCGGATGGGCCACCACCACCACCACCACCACCCACCAACCACCAACCACCAACCACCAACCACCAACAACCGCCAACCGCCAACCGCCAACCGCCAACCGCCAACCACAACCACAACATCAACAACAACTTTTTTAAACCACGACAACGACGACAACGACGACGACAACAACAACAACAACAACAACAACAACAACCACAACAACCACAACAACCACAACAACCACAACAACAACAACAACAACAACAACAACCACAACAACCACAACAACCACAACAACCACAACAACCACAACAACCACAACCACAACCACAACAACAACAACAACCACAACGACAACGACAACGACAACGACCACGGCAACGACAAGGACAAGGACAAGGACAAGGACAAGGACAACGACAACGACAACGACAACGACAACAACAACAACCACAACAACAACAACAACAACAACTTTTTAAAACCACGACAACAACAACAACAACAACAAGAACAAGAACAACAACAACAACAACAACAACAAGAACAACAACAAGAAGAAGAACAACAACAAACAACAAGAACAAGAAGAAGAACAAGAACAACAAGAAGAATAACAACAAGAAGAAGAACAACAAGAAGAAGAACAACAAGAAGAAGAACAAGAAGAAGAAGCACACACATGCGACAAAAAGATGTGTGGTAAGATGGTTACAAGCTGCGGTATGACAAGAACATCACACTGTGCTCTGCACTTGCGCGCACGCACAGAGCACATAAACAACACCAACGCTCACACTACTATACCCTTATGGCATGGCCGGTGTGCGAAGCTCTACAATGATACTATATGCACCATACGCACTGGTGTATCCGATTGGTCTATCATGGTCTATCTGTCAATCCGTTTTCGTATCCGTTTTCTCGGGTTTATGTGTCGTTTTGTGAAGCCTCCTCCATGGCCGCCAAGTGGCAATCGATAAAGCTTGTGACAGTAACTTGTGGATACTTGGTTGATGAAGCTACGCGAAGCTACTGGAAGCTATTTGAAGCTACCGTAACCGAATTAAAGTTAGATGAAGCTACTTGTCTCATCTTGTCTCTGTTATTCTCTGTATATCATTGTATGTCTCTGTGGCATTCAGTTGCTCTTTCTCTTCGAGCGTAGTTACGCGCTGATATTCTTCGTTTCTTTGCATTGCTTGGCATTGTCTGGCATCAATCTGATTCTTCGTACCGCATGCCTGCCCTGGGGCCTAGTGCTTCCGGTTAAGATGGAAGTTCTGGTTAAGATTGGTTAAGTGTTCGTGTGGTCCGGTGCATCGATCACAATGGCAATGGCTGGCAGTGCAGTTCGTTGGAATTTTGAAATCTTGATGCCATGCTGCAGAAAGGCACAGGTGGAACCAACGAACCAACATGAACCAACATGAAATAATGATAAATAATGAGGCTTTCAAATGCTTTCAAGGCAAATCCATCAGAAGCTCGGACGGTCCCAAACGACTTGCTTCAGAATGTCTGATTTATTTTGTCTGTCAGCAAGTTGCGCGGCCCGCATTGAGTGCCGCATAGCCATTTGTACCTGTCGAGTCATCCATGGTCAAACTTACGCTTGTGTCATCTTGTATCTTGAATCCTTTGTCTTTGGAACTGTTCCATCCTGTCGACTTGTGTGGGTTCAAGGCACCATCTGTGCACAGCATGGCCTTGTCGCGCAGCCTGTTTCAGCTGAACACGAGATCATTAACATCTTCGGCGTCACCGCCTCACATGCTGCGTCACATACTTTTGCTGTCATGCCAGCACATGTCACACTTCCCCAAGGAGTTAGAAGAGAGCCACAAGAGTCACAATAAGTCAAAGTCAGCTTATTCGGAAGTCCTCACGGATTCGGGCAAGGCGCTCTACAATCGTGCCCAGGATTTTGCACTGCCAAGTTGTCCACACCCCATGCTTTGGATATGCTTGGCCTGCTCCAAACTTTGCCAGAGCGATGAGTGTGTTCGGAAACCTCAAGACGTTCACATGTTCTCCACGAGAAAAATCAATGAAATTCCCTTCTACGATCCATTCAAATTCATGTATATATAGATTCATTTAAATTTGCACAAATTCCAAAACAGGCATCCCCAATGCACTCGTCTAGGTCCGGTGCAGCAAACTTTTGCAGTCTTTGTCTCTCCTCGCTCAAATCTTTGTATTCCAATCTCAATACCTTCTATTCAGGCCCAGCTGTACTTGCCTCCCTGCATGTTTTGGAACGTTTTGTATGTATTCTCTGTGATCACATCTGAATTTAAGCCTTTCGTGTCCTGTTCAGCAAGGGTGAGGTCTGGCTTGAAGCGCTCAACCTCACAAAAGGCCGAGAGAAATTCTGACACTCCTGACCCAAAGAGCAAACAACAAAACAATGTGCGTGGTAAAGGGCTCAGTACAGCCTGCTGAAAATTTGGCCATCATTTTGTCAGCCTAAAGTTTGCCTAAGTGAAAGGCCTTTTCCCGTGTGGCAGACTGAGCCCTGAACCACGCTTAGCTTTCCAAAGTCACCTTGCCCTGAATGAACCGGAGCAGGAATGACGGGTCTTGTTCGCACCTGGGCTATGTAGAAATGCGACGTGACTTACCGCGTGACTCACCACCTGACGCAGTTTCTGTAGCGCCTTGGAGGCTCTTGGAGTGCGCATTCCAACGCCAATTCCAATGCCTCGACTCACGTAAATTCATGTAAATTCTCATGAATTCCCAAATGCCAAAGTGTCCACGCTGTCCACAAGCTGCATGCTGTCCCAGCTTTTTGAATTTGTTTGACACTTCACGGGGCCACAGCCAGCCTGGAACAGTCCCTTTCGTGGTTGCACCATCTCGGTGGCCACCTCTCAGTCTCTCAGCTCTGCTCAACACCTTTCTCAACACCTTTCTCAACACCACCGTGCTGCTTCACCTCTCTTGACGTGCCTGGACCTCCAGCTGTTCTGCGCGGACTGATGCCTGGAATTCTCAACAAAAAGAAAACCCGCGGTCAGACCAGTGTTTTCACAGTGTGTGAAGTAACGTGCGAAGTGATTTGATGCGAATTTGATACGAGCCACCCCAGCGGTCATCGTCTTCAGGCCCTCGGATGCCCTCTTCAGTGGAAGGCGGTGGCCTGTGACTGGACAGAGAACGAGAAAACGACTTCAGAGAACGAGAAGAAAACTCTGCAGATCTCTGCAGTATTTGTTGTGAAAAGAACATCTGCGCAATATGCACAACGATGCACAGCGATGCACAGTGGCAGGGCCAAGAGCAACGCTGATCACACCACGTGGTTTGGTCTGATAGCCTTCCCAAATGGCAACAGACTCCAATGCATATGACAGCAAAATGTAAAATAATGAGACAGTAGCATTGCTGAGATGATCATAGATGAGCAAACGGCCTCCATTGCGGGCCGCGATGACTGAAGTTCCCAATGCGAGCTCCATCCATTGTGTGCCTTGCCATCGGTTCGGGCTTTGAACAATCAATCCGAATCCCAGGTGAACAATTTGACATATTTCGACATTAATTTGCCACTTTGACACTTTGCTTTTTTTATCATTTTCTATCTGCTTTCGGGGCACATTGCGACGGTCCAGTCAGATGAGGCTGAAACAATGACCTCGGCGGCACTTTCCACATCTGAAGCTTCCGAAAGATTCTGAAAGCACATCCAAGTGGGTCATTCCATGTCATTCCATGTCATTCCTATCAGTGTCTCCACTCTATCTGCCCGGAACGCTCTCGGAACACTTTGGGGCTTGTGCCACTTTGCCACTGATCTCAAAGTGCTGCAACCTGAGAAATCTTTTAGCACCACACCATGGGAAGTCACACGTATGGTGTAGACTTCCAAGTCTAAGTCTAAGCTCTGCACGATGTCACTGCCATTTGATGCAAGTGCATTTCCTAGTGCACACGAGTTGTTGAACTTTGGATGCACACATAAGTTGTTGAACTTTGGAAGGACTTTCACATATCACCGTAGATTGCTGATTTCTACATCTACACCATACTGTGCTCTCTTTAGACGCTAGTCAAAGAACTTGAACCACTAGGATCCACTAGGCGTCAAAGTATATAGGAAGCTCATGAAAGTTCCGATTGTGCTGCATTACCCAACAAGACTAAAATCATCTTTGCACGTGAAGAATCTCCCAACGAATCCCAACGATAGAATCGATAGAACCGATCCAACGCTTGCCACTTCCTTTGAACCAGCTCGCACGATTTCACTTAGTGACTTAGTACAGCGGACAAAACAAAAGCCCTGGGAGTTTCGACCAAAACCCGACCCGTCAAATTAGCACAGCTGTCCTTGAACAGCAACAGGCCCTTCTTCATGTCAGGCTTTGCAGTGACCATCGTCAAATCCCAAATTCGGACCCACCTCGGAAGAGGTGAGACTTCAAAGGAGTCTAACCGTGTCTAACCTGTCCCTTTCATGATGTCATCATGATGTCATCATGATGTCATCATGATGTCATCATGATGTCATCATCATGTCATCATCATGTCATCATCATGTCATCATCATGTCATCTGCAATCCCTGAGTCTCATCGAGTCTCATCGAGTCTCATCACTTGCAGCCACTGCACTGCACATTTTTGCAACTTGGAGGTCTGAAAGCCTTCCAGCACTCAAGAATACTCAGTGGGTGGCCCGTCTGCATGGCCAGTAAACAACCACCTGCAAGGGGTCTGCAATCTGTGAAGTCTCACAACGTTATATTTCTTTATGGGATGTTGCCGGCATGTGTGTTCCATCAGGCGAACTGCGGTGGGACGCGGATGCAACATCTATTTATTATAAAGCCTTATAAAGCCCTCAGATCACCACATCACCCTCTGCAAATTTGGCCAGGCAACTGTCTTATCAGAAAAGAATGAAAACCACCTTATGACATCTTCATTATGGCTGACTTTCCTGACCTATGCACAGGTCGCTCTATTGAAATCACCTAACCTAAAATCCTTTACCTGGAGACTTCTGAGGTTTCGGCGTGTTGTCATCATCAGCATAGATTGATGTTATTACCTCCTGCCAGGGCATCCAAGGGTCCATCTTGCCTTCATGGTTTTTGTGTCTGGACATTGTGCTGGAATGTGATGCTACTCGTTGCTCTTGAGACCCTTGAGGAACCGACCATTTTGTCCTCCATTACCTGCAGAACTTCAAAGCGATGCTCTGCACGTGGATTGCAGAAATTGTGATTGGCTAAACTTGAATCAATTTGACTCTGCAGAAAGCGTGGTCTTATCAGGTCAATACCAACAGACTTCCGGATAAACTCGGGGAATTCATGGGGAGTGCCCACCTGGCCTTTCGTCAAAGTTAAAGAAAGTAAAAGAAAACACAAGAAAATGAAAGAACATGAAAGCTATGAGAGTTGACGACACTTATATTATATAAGCAGATTTTATGTAGTTTATCAAGCAAGTGTCGTGGCGGTCATGGCAAGAGAATGTCGCCATGTCGCCTCGTCCGGACTCGCCATGAAGTCCTTGGGCAAAGAGGACTCCGACGGCACTGTGGCGTCCCCTGTGGCCCGGAGCGCAGCCCTGAGTGCCAAGCCAATTTTCCCAGGAATTCGGCTTGTTTTGTGGACCTCAGAGTTTTTTGTACTATGTAGACAGACTCTTGAAAAAACTGGAATCAATTCTGTACGTAGAACCTTTCGGCTTTTAGGCATGGATTTGAAGGTTTGGGTTTCGCTTTGCTTCGCTTAGAGCATTCAATTTTGGGAATCTACAGTAGCTGACCTTTTTTGCAAGGCATTGCAAAGGTGTATGATCAGTGTGATCTGATAAGTGGATCTTAGAGTTTCTGCCGATTCAACACATTCGTGAGAGCCACATGGCTAAGGCGGCTAAGGTGAGAGCCACAGCCGTGGGGATCCATCGGCGTGAATGGTCAAAAGGCAGGCCTGGCAAGCCGACCACATCGAAACATCGCGCCTCAAAGGATGCTCGTCTGAGTGTTAAAAAAACTATAAACATACCCTACACATCCCTACACTGCAACACAAAACACACAAAGAAATGACATGTCACCCTATACGTGTGCATGTATGCGTGCATGTCTGTATGCATGCATGCATGTATGGAGGTATGGATGTATGGATGTATGCATGGATGCATGCATGCATGGATGCATGCATGGAATGTGTGTAATGTACCGTAACGTATTACATGAAACGTCTCCCTGTTGGAATTCGCCAGGGGGTGGTGGATTGCTGCGCGCCTTGTGCTCCAAGAAGACCGTTCTTTCCACGCCGAAAGATGCCAAGCCTTGACAGAAATTGCTGGAACTGGACAGCACTCTAAGAGCTCAAACAGCACAACAGACCACTGATAAGAAATGATAGAAGATGACACTTCACATAATCATATACAATCAAATATAATCAAGTATCATCATATGAAACTAATCATACATGATCATATGTAGTCATATACAGCCCCCTGTCCATGCTTCTTTGCAAGCGCTGGGAACTCGTCAAAATTATGTGTTTTCTTGGTGGAAAACTGGACAACGTACAGAGCGAACACTGCGCCTGTGTCAGCTTCAAGGCCGCTGAGATCCTGGCATGTCGAGTGACAAAACAAATCGTACAATCCAATAATATGTATATATATATATATATAGGTATAAATATATATATATAAGTATATATGCATATATATATATATACATATGTCTATATATACATACATAGTGTGTGTATATATATATATATACATATGGTACTCCCCCAAGACCCACCTTTTCAATTTATTTAGTAGTATTTACAGTTCTTTTTTGTAACTTGTGTACTTAAAAATTAAAGGTGTTTTAATGGAGTCATTTTGTCTTGTGGCACTTTGTTGCCGTCCCGTCCTCCCCACCCAGGATTCAAGATTAAGATTCAAGATTCAAGATTCAGAAAAAGCTTCTTGAACCCCAGGATTCTTAGATGTTGAATCTTGAATCCAGAGAGGCTAGATTAAAGAAGTTTTTTTTGAGCCATTGTGTACCGCTGCAATGAGACATCCCTCCAACATCTTTGCTTTTGCCACAAACCTTTCCAGATAGACCACGGATAAACTGGAAAACAGACACTATTGGGTGAATGGTGGGGGATTTCTTTGAGAACATGTAACATTTCTTTGTAACAGAATGCTCAATAGATGCAGCAGTACTTTGAAAGAGTCTTGCCTGTAACTGTAACGAAAGTCCCTAAAGGGATGCAGTACTCTTTTGAAAGAGTACTGTATCGGACACATTGCATAAAATGGTGGGGCATTCTTTTTAAAGACTGTACTATCTCTTTGTAATAGATAGATGCAGTAGTACTTTGAAAAAGTATTGCCTTCAATGAAAGTCCTTGAGTGGATACAGCACTCTTTTGAAGTATATAGTGTTGTATTCTCAGCACATGTAGTAGCGTAGCATCACTTTTTGCAATATCCAAGTACCAAAAGTGACGCATGTCTGGACATAGTTTTTATATCTTTGAAAAGATGTGACATTCTTTTAAGCTAGCATTCCTTAGTAGATGTAGTAGTACTTTGCAAGACTCTTTCAAGGGTGCAGTATTCCTTGGAAAATGGCAACAAACATGTGAGGTCCCTTTGAAAGAGGACAGCGTTACTTTAATAAGAAAGTTCTCTTAGTCTATGCAGTATCAATTCAAAACAGTAATATATTTAGAGCAGAGTTGTAGTGTAGCATTACTTTTTGCAATGTTCCATTGAAAAGAGGTACACATTACTTAAACATGGTGGGACATTCCTTCAAAAACATGTAACATTGCTTTGTCATAGAATGCCTCAATAGATACAGTAGTACATAGAGTCTTAGTTTCAGAACAAATCCCTGAATTCATGTAGTACTCTCTTGAAATACTATTCTGAAAGAAGTTTGGAAGTGTAGATCCCTTTTTGGAATATTCCATTACGAAGAGTAACACCTTTCTGGCAAATATAGTAGTGTAATATCTTTAAAAATTACGTTGCTTAAACTGGCATCCTTCTCTAAATGCGGTGGTACTTTGAAAGCGCCTAGCCTTTCAAGGGTATAGTATTCCCTGGGAAAGGACAGAAACATGGTTGACTATTCCTCTGAAATGCACAGCACTACTTTACTATAGATTTGTTCGATGGGTGCATTATTCTTTCAAAAATCGTATAGTAGTAAAAAAGAAGTTTATTTGTCCAACAGTGCTGTGTCATGACTATCATGTTCTTTTAAGAGGGTGTAGCACGGTGTAGCACTAAAAGAGTGGTCAATGCTCTTCAAAGAGACCTTCAAAATGTTCACTATTGCTCATTGCTCCAGAAAAGGATGCCACCTTTGGAAAAGAAACGGTACAACTTGAGTCTTGACCTCAATAACTTCCTGACAAGAGTTCTTTCAAAAACATCTTGAAAGCAAGACAAACAAACATATGTCAGTTTCTGTGGTGAAATGTTGCATCAATCAAAAGTAAAAAAACATGAAAACCATGTTCAAACCTTGGATTTGACCACAGTGCGGTGCCCATGTTATAAATGTTTGAACTTCAATGACCTGCTAAGGTCACAATACAGTAGCCAAATGCATGTACAGTATATATATATACATGTATATCTGTGTGTGTGTACGTGTGTGTGTACTTTTTCTTAAAGCATTCCCATTTGAAAAGGCATTTTCCGGCTGTGTGCTACAACAAGTGACAATATAAGCAGTGAGAAAGGAGATGTCAAGGACATATCTACTACCCAAAAGGTAGGTCTTGGTTGGGGGGTAGCATTTGCATATATATATACTGTATATATATATTATACATACATAGTATAAAAGTTGATGTAGTACATGAAATGTGTGGAATCTACTGAAAGACAATGTGGTAAGATCTGGTGTGAAACACGATGATATCTGATGATCAAGTTGATGTATGATTGAAGTTGATTCTAAACTCAATAGATAACCTCACTATTGTGTCGTTTGAGCTTCATATTTATGACTTGGCCCCAAGAAATCTGCAACAAGTTTAATCAATCTGCTGGCTTTTAGATGATTTTTTCCTGCTTACCAATTTCATCCAATTTCAAGAGATTGGGGTGTTAAGGAGGAAGTCTAGATGGCTCGGGGCTCGAGCAACAAAAAACCTTGAAAGCAACACAATGCGACCAAATCTTCGCATGGCTTGATTGATTTCCACAGTTTATCTCATTTATCTCGGTACAGTTTATTTCTTGTAGCCGTTGTAGCCGTTGCCGTCCTCTGGCCATCCACTGCTATGCCCTGCAGCAAGCTGCAAGCTCAACAGCCATGGGTTGAATTCGGTTGAATTCGGTTGAATGATCTTGGAATCGGCGTGAGTCACCAAGCCTTCTGCGGTCCTGGGCTGCGGTGCTCAGTTTTTGACAACGAACCAAAATCTCCATGTGGATGGCCAGAAAGTCTTAAATGAATTTAAATGACATATGTTACATATGATATGTATAGGCAAGATTAGGCAAGATTAGGCAAGGCCACACTTCCACATAATCGCAAGAGAGATTGTTTTGAAAGAGAAACTATGGGTGGCTTGGAAATAACAAAAAGCCTTCCGCAATCAGTACCTTCTCTTCAATGTGTCCCATCATATGTTTTTGGATATTCTTGGTATTTTTCACAATCTGCATGCATATGTCCTATGTATCCATGTACATCTACACAATCTAATAACCTATGACACCTATGTATCTATCTCCCTATCTATCTCCCTATCTATATCCATCCATCGATCTATCCATCTATATATCCATCTGTATCCATCTCGCCATCCATCCATCTATCTATCCATCCATCCATCCATCCATCCATCCATCCATCTATGTATATATGTATATATATATATGATACATGAAATCTGTGGTAGCTTAAAGAAAACAAAGTTAAACAGAATGACTCTCTATCTCCATGTAGCAAATGTCGCAACGTGTGCTTCATTCTCGCACTGTGCATGGCTGAGACACTTCAATCTACATCTCACAAACAGCCAACTGCTGACGAAACCGAAGCACAATTTGAGACGTATGTTCCCTCAGTTTGTAGCAGTGAGGAAGGCGAATCTGGATAGCCCTGCAGAAGCTGAAGACTAAAAGCGACTCACACAAAACATCACAAAACCAAGTCCAAAACGACCGTGGAATGTCGATTATTCTGACACGTGCCTGCGGCTGAGTGGTGTGTGACACCCGCTTGTTCCCCTCAGAGCCATGTTGGCCATGGATCACCATGGATCACCATGGATCAGGATACATCAGGATACATCAAGATCACTGAGTCACTGAGGTTTTGGATCCCGAAGGTGTCATGTCTCGCACGCACTTGCTGCCAGTTGCTGCATAAGGGCCTCGCTGTGGTATGAACCTCAGAGCCTGGCCAAGGACATGAAGTACATGAAGTCAATATCAAGAAAGGATACCCATCAATGGAAGACTTGGACGAAACGTTGCAGATCAACGTTTCAATCTCCTGCAAGTGCCTGAAGAGAAGAATATTGTATGGCTGTGCGGCTGTGCGTCAATCATGGTCAAATGCCCGTGCCATACACCCCAAAATGCTGCTGGAAGTAACCTAGATGGATGGGAACTTGGTCATAACCCGCACCCACCGCCTCACATCGAACCTCAAACAATAAGCTTTTCAAACACTCAAGTTTCTTTCTTCTGCTTTGGCTTGGTCACACGTAGAGTCATACCGTCATACCATTGCACAAGCAGTTTGTGTGGTCCATGAAATGCGTTCTGCTAGAGGGTAGTTGCCATTGCCTGTGAACTGCTGCGCCCTTGCGTAGGAACGCAAGCGCGAATCATGGGACAGATCGAGACAGGCAGAAGGACAACGTACCACAGATCCAGACTCATGGCCAAACGGCCAAATACACTGCATTTCAATTCTGCAAGAAGTTCTTAGATCCGAATGATTCAAAACGGTTTGAAGCTGGTGCTTCAACACTTTTGGCAACAGGAGACATCTGGTGGGGGTCTGATCGTGTGAGGATCTGTTCCTGTCATCCTTCCTTTCCTGTTAAGCCTCTAACTTTAGCCCCTTTTGCCTCTTTATTCCGTGGCTGTGGCGACTGCGCTTCCTCTAAACTCTAAACATCCATGCTGCCATGCTTTCGAAAGTGCTCCCATCACAACATCGGAACAGGATGCTGGAACTGAAAGTGGCTCAAATCCTACGCGATGAGACAGGGGGTAAGCATGGATAAGCAAGAAAACCAAGAAAACCGTTCACTATCTCTGAAGTTACACAATGAAAACTTACAGTACTTGCAACTACATCAACTTACAAGTTCTTTACCTCTTTGAAGATTGCACCAAATAACACCCCATGACATAAATGCTCGCGGCACCTTTCTTCCCCTTCCGAACTCGATCTCCGCTCCCTTCCCTGAGTCTTGAGTGTGGAAAGTAGCGAAATATGATCACTTGTTGCAAGCACTTGGAAGTGATTGGAAGTCAAAGCAAGGTGACAATACTGTCTGTCTCTCAAATACGGAGCAAAGTGGCGTTGAAGCAACTCCGTGGGATGGAGCCTGCTGCGAAACGAAATGCCAAGCGGAGAAATTATCTTGAAAACGATTGAAATTTCAATAGATTAAAATTCAACTTGCAAGAAGTATCAAGAACTATCAAGAAGTATCAGGTCATGTGGTTTTCATGCCTGTGAGGTGTCGCATAGGCGATATCTTCTTGAACTGGCACCATGCCCAGCCGAGGTCTCCTGTAGGAGACTAAGCTGAACTTGGAAGGCGCAAATCGAAACAAATCGTAGTGCATTCACACAGGTCAAATGTGCTTGTATCATCTTGTATCATCTTGTATCATCTTGTATCATCTTGTATCGTTCAGTTTTGTTCATTCGCTGGCAGAGAGAGAAATGCAACAATGCAAAAAGCGTTTAGGGCTTGCCATGAAGAGCGACACAATCTAGGAGGGACTCCACAATCTGTAAGTCTTTCAGTGTCTTTCAGTCCGCAGAAGACTAAATGACTAAATGAATATGAAGTGAATATGAAATGAATTAAATTTTAATTATATAAATGAATTGAATGCACTTTGAATCACTTTGATCTTTGCGAACTATTAGGTCGTTGGGTTGCCTCTGCTTAAGATCCTGAGAAGGGGATGACAATAGACTAAGCAAATGCAAAAACCATCAGACAAGATACAAGATGATTTTACAGGATACATTCTGTATACAACATTTTGACAAGACATTTTGTTTTACATTTTGCTAATGCAAACTCTATCCATTTCCATTTTGGACTCTTTCAAGATCATGACTTGATCTGTTGAAGCCATTCCCACTTCGCATTTCTTTGGCGTCTACGGTAATCGGCAATAGCCAATACTATCCAATACTACTAATAGTCATTTGCTCCATGTGTTTGATGATTGTGCATCTCGGCTTGTGGCAACGCGACTTGATCAACATGAATAAATCCGAACAGCTAGAAGGGAAGATCTGCTGTCTTTCTGGCTAGCCATATGACCATACCTCATGTCGAAGCAGCAAAAATGAGTCCAAATGGCACAATGGTGAAACATGGTGAAACATAGACGTCCTGGATCTTCCAAAAGCAAACATATCCATCATCACCTGTCGTGTCCAGCTGTTTCAGGAGTCCACAGTTCAACTACGCCTTCGGCCCCTTCGGCCTGCCTCCAGTGGCAAGTAAGCCAGACACAGATGACAAGCGGCTGAGACATGTCACATCGTCCTGTCGCGACAACTGACAAGTCTCTCAAGTCTACCAGTAGACTCAGTAGACCTACTAAGTATATACAGTATCCGCCGACCCCGGCCGACGCAAGGGGGAGCGCGTAAGGGAAGAAGATGGAAGAAAAGGACTTGCAGCAGCCAGCAGGCATACTTGCAGCAGCCAGCAGGCATGTGAGGCAGCAGCAGCAGCAGCAGCAGCAGCAGCATTGAGCAAGAGTAACAGCAACAGAACTAGCAACAGCAACAGCAGCAACAACAACAACAAGAAGAACAAGAACAACAACAACAACAACAACAAGAAGAAGAACAACAACAACAACAACAACAAGAACAAGAACAACAACAACAACAACAACAACCACAAAGACAAACATAAACCCAAACAACAACAAACAACAATAACAAACAACACCAAACAACAATAAATAACAAGAAACAACAAGAAACAACAACCAACAACAACAAACCATGACCCTTTGCCGGGGGACTCTGTTGGGTCCCCCTCCGACCGGTCACGTACCTCGATTCCCTGACTCCGGGGTTTTTGTTTCACCGGTGGGGGGTCCTTCCCGGAGTCTCCTCGAAGTACGTGGGGCTCCTCGGGTTGCCCTTCCCGCCTGCCCTTTTTTTGGGTTCATGCTTGGTGGCTTCTTCGTCCTTCACTGCCATGGTGTTTCAGGCTGGCGGGTCTGGCGTTTTGGCGTGTCAGAAGCTGTAAGTTGAAGAGGTAGTTGAAGTGCTAGGTCTCTAGGATTTCAGAAGGGACGTTAGGGAGTTTTTTGGTGCGATTTGGTGGCTTCTTCGTCCTTCACTGCCTGGTATTTCAGGCTGGTGGGTCCGGCGTTTTGGCGGCTCAGAAGTTGTAAGTTGAAGAGCTAGTTGAAGAGCTAGTTGAAGAGCTAGGTCGCTAGGATTTCAGAGTGGACGTTAGGGAGTTTTTTGGTGCGATTTGGTGGCTTCTTCGTCCTTCACTGCCATGGTGTTTCAGGCTGGCGGGTCCGACAATTTTGGCGGCTCAGAAGCTGTAAGTTGAAGAGCTAGTTGAAGAGCTAGTTCTCTAGGATTTCGGAAGGGACGTCAAGCCTCGGGACAGCATTTGACTTCGTTGTGGAGCTGTTTTGAGGGCATGGGAGCTGGCAGCAGCAGTCACCGTTGGATGGATTGGATTGGATGCGATTTCTAGCAGGATAAGGAATGGGAGTGGTTTACTTTTAGCCGTCGCAGCTAGCCACCAGCAGCAGCAGCAGCAGCAGCAGCAGCAGCAATCAAAAGTGGATTGGAATTTGCACCAATGGGTGTCAAGAACGTGGGCAAGAGCACGCAAAAGGTGCACATAGCCAGTAGCTAGCAGCCAGCGCCAGTAGCAGCCAGCAGCCAGTAGCCAGCAGCCTACCAAAAATCTAAATTTTTCTAGGATTTCAGACGACACGTTAGGCACTTTTTTGGCGTGGTTCTGGCACTCGCTCGTCCTTCAGAGCCCTGGTGTTTTCCCCCCCGGAGGTGATTTTTTCGAACCTGTTTTACTGCTAGCAGCCGCCAGCAACAGAATCTGTCGAAAAATTGTGTTTTTCTAGGATGTCAGACAACACGTTAGGCACTTCTATATATCTTGTATATATTTCTATAGGGTTTCAAACGTGACGTTTGGCAGTTTTCTCGTTTATATAGCACCAATGGGTGTCAAGAACGTGGGCAAGAGGACGCAAAACATAGCCAGTAGCTAGCAGCCAGCACCAGTAGCAGCCAACAGCCAGTAGCCAGCAGCCTACCAAAAATCTAGATTTTTCTAGGATTTCAGACGACACGTTAGGCACTTTTTTGGCGTGGTTCTGGCACTCGCTCGTCCTTCAGAGCCTTGGTGTTTTCCCCCCCGGCAGGTGATTTTTTCGAACCTGTTTTCTCTAGGATTTCGGAAGGGACGTCAAGCCTCGGGACAGCATTTGACTTCGTTGTGGAGCTGTTTTGAGGGCATGGGAGCTGGCAGCAGCAGTCACCCTTGGATGGATTGGATTGGATGCGATTTCTAGCAGGATAAGGAATGGGAGTGGTTTACTTTTAGCCGTCGCAGCTAGCCACAAGCAGCAGCAGCAGCAGCAGCAGCAATCAAAAGTGGATTGGAATTTGCACCAATGGGTGTCAAGAACGTGGGCAAGAGCACGCAAAAGGTGCACATAGCCAGTAGCTAGCAGCCAGCGCCAGTAGCAGCCAGCAGCCAGTAGCCAGCAGCCTACCAAACATCTAGATTTTTCTAGGATTTCAGACGACACGTTAGGCACTTTTTTGGCGTGGTTCTGGCACTCGCTCGTCCTTCAGAGCCCTGGTGTTTTCCCCCCCGGCAGGTGATTTTTTCGAACCTGTTTTACTGCTAGCAGCCGCCCGCAACAGAATCTATCGAAAAATTGTGTTTTTCTAGGGTGTCAGACGACACGTTAGGCACTTCTATATATCTTGTATATATTTCTATAAGGTTTCAAACGTGACGTTTGGCAGTTTTCTCGTTTATATAGCACCAATGGGTGTCAAGAACATGGGCAAGAGCACGCAAAAGGTGCACATAGCCAGTAGCTAGCAGCCAGCGCCAGTAGCAGCCAACAGCCAGTAGCCAGCAGCCTACCAAAAATCTAGCTTTTTCTAGGATTTCAGACAAGTTTAGGAGCAGGAGCCGCAGCAGCAGCAGGAGGAAAAAGTAGCCAAAATCATCATGTTCTATGGGTTTCAGAAGTTACGTTAGGCATTTTCGGGGTGCAATTTTGGGGCTTATGGGCAAGAGCACGCAAAAGGGCAGCAGCAGCAGCAGCAGAAGCAGCAGCAGCAGCAGCAGTTGCTTCTTGCTTTGGAAGCTGTTTGATTGCAGCAGCACGACAGCAGCACCACAGCAGCAGCAGCCACCAGCAGCAGCACCAGCAGGAGGCAGCAGGCCGCCGCAGGCAGCAGCAGGCAGCAGCAAGCATCAGTAGGCAGCAGCAGACACAAGCAGACGCAGCAGCAGTAAGCGCAACGGCAGCAGTGCAGCAGCTAGCAGCACGAAAAATTGTGTTTTTCTAGGATGGCACCAATGGGTGTCAAGAACGTGGGCAAGAGCACGCAAAAGGTGCACATAGCCAGTAGCTAGCAGCCAGCGCCAGTAGCAGCCAACAGCCAGTAGCCAGCAGCCTACCAAAAATCTAGCTTTTTCTAGGATTTCAGACGACACGTTAGGCACTTTTTTGGCGTGGTTCTGGCACTTGCTCGTCCTTCAGAGCCCTGGTGTTTTCCCCCCCGGCAGGTGATTTTTTCGAACCTGTTTTACTGCTAGCAGCCGCCAGCAACAGAATCTATCGAAAAATTGTGTTTTTCCAAGCAGACGCAGCAGCAGTAAGCGCAACAGCAGCAGTGCAGCAGCTAGCAGCACGAAAAATTGTGTTTTTCTAGGATGGCACCAATGGGTGTCAAGAACGTGGGCAAGAGCACGCAAAAGGTGCACATAGCCAGTAGCTAGCAGCCAGCGCCAGTAGCAGCCAGCAGCCAGTAGCCAGCAGCCTACCAAAAATCTAAATTTTTCTAGGATTTCAGACGACACGTTAGGCACTTTTTTGGCGTGGTTCTGGCACTTGCTCGTCCTTCAGAGCCCTGGTGTTTTCCCCCCCGGCAGGTGATTTTTTCGAACCTGTTTTACTGCTAGCAGCCGCCAGCAACAGAATCTATCGAAAAATTGTGTTTTTCTAGGGTGTCAGACGACACGTTAGGCACTTCTATATATATTGTATATATTTCTATAGGGTTTCAAACGTGACGTTTGGCAGTTTTCTCGTTTATATAGCACCAATGGGTGTCAAGAACGTGGGCAAGAGCACGCAAAAGGTGCACATAGCCAGTAGCTAGCAGCCAGCGCCAGTAGCAGCCAACAGCCAGTAGCCAGCAGCCTACCCAAAATCTAGCTTTTTCACACGTTAGGCACTTTTTTGGCGTGGTTCTGGCACTCGCTCGTCCTTCAGAGCCCTGGTGTTTTCCCCCCGGGAGGTGATTTTTTCGAAACTGTTTTACTGCTAGCAGCCTCCAGCAGCAGAATCTGTCGAAAAATTGTGTTTTTCTAGGATGTCAGA